AACTGTACCAGTGACGCTGTCCCCAGCAGATCAAGTCTACAATCAGATGCTATACAAAGCTGGACAAAGTTAGCACACAAGTTTCCGATCATTATATCATCAAATGTACTTCACCGCACTTCTCAGTGCTTACAATTGAACACTGAACACTGTGTTGTAGCAAAGTGGGGAAGTGTGTCAAATGCTAATTATTGAACTTGGTGTCTAGCTGGGGTGAGGGTTGATAAGGGGAGGGAAGGGAGGGGGTTTTCGGCCCTGACTCTGACAGCCGAGTGCCTATCGCTCCTAGTTAAAATTCTCCTTATTTATCTTCACTAGACGATTCCTTCTTTAGCCGGCCAGACTCCTAAGGGCCAGGTAAGTTATTTGTGGGGAGAAAATGATGAGTAAATGCTAAACAGGAACTATAGGTGGTTAAAAAGTTAATAAACAAAAAAGAGTAGTGCCATGCTGACAATAAATGTTCTGATAGTAGTTAAAGAAAGGCTGAATGAATTGTTTTGCTGATAAAATAATACATGTGTCTGTGCTGCTCAAGACAGCCTCATTCTTAATTTTGTAAGCTACAAAGAGGCCAATCTGGCAATTAAGGGATGCCCTATTCGTTCTGAGTGCAGTTGATGGATTTGTCCATGGAACTAACGTCATCGCTACGCTTAAGCCCGCCGTGTTTGGCCTCATTCGTAGTACGAAGTTCCGCGACGTGATGGCTTGACGGGAGACGATTTAAAGTTTCGAGCCGGCGCGACAACAAACGTGAAGGAATGAGGTTATGTCGCGACAAAACAGCAGTGAATCCCACTTGTCTATTTGAGCGCCTTCAAATCGGCAAGGTGTTTTTGAATGTTGATACATGTTTGTTAGGATTTACTTAAAACTGAATGAAAGTCGTCATCAGCAATAAACCTCTAGTCAACAGTTCAGCAGACAAAAATCTGACCGGCACCGGAGGTCTTGCCCAGTTAAGTTACTGAATGAGGTAGAGCGTGTAGTGTGGGCGTGGGAGCTAATGCAATGTATTGAGGGAGCGATAGAATTGCAAACGGCTGAGTTGGATTGTTTTAATTCATTCCGATTATAAGGCTTTTAACAAAATCACCGTCACATTGTTACAAGCAAATTAAAACATGATAATGGCACATTTACTTTATAAAGCATTTTAAAAGCATAAATATTAAGATAAATCTTGATGAACATAATGGTTATATAACATCTGTTCTAATAACATGACATTTCAAACAGACTAAAGCAGAGAAATCACACTAATTATTACACCTCTTTTCACGATCTAGCAAAAATGAAACCGAAAGCGATGACATTTTTTCTAGTTTTATTGTAGCGTAAAAAGGAGGCACACATTTTTGCGTACCGGTATACAGAATGTCTGTGGACTGAAACTGTAAGGACAAGTTGACACGTTTACACTCTGTAGATATATGGTATTATTATTCGCGAATATATATGGTATAGGCCTAATTATCATTCTGATACAAATGAGTAACGACTGAAGACACAGTAATCTTCAAAAAATAAAGGCACAAAGCATTGAAGGAGCAGAAACACACTACGCTTTTTTTATGTAGTGTCACATATTTAAATACACCGAAATCACTTTAGCTAGATCTATTTCATTTTATTATAAATGTTCCGTGCAATTTATTGATCGTCATTTTAACGATCGTATAGATCTTATTGCGCGGCAATCTGAAGATTGCGTTAATATTTTATATTCTTGATTTTTTTAAATTCACTGCCATCTTTATTCTTTTACTCACATCAAGGACCATTCGCAGATTTTTTCAAAATCAAAATTAACGTATGAAACTGAAGAGCTCAGAAGAATGATACAATGCCAGGCATCTCTCTCTCTCTCTCTCTCTCTCTCTCTCTCTCTCTCTCTCT